ACACACACTTGCTGTTTAGAAATGTATCATTTATTTCTGAGACTCTCACATGAATTCACAAGAGTCGCAGCTGCAACGTACTGTCCTCCACATCTGCCTGCTGAGCATCTTGAGATAGATGCCGTACGGCTGTTGTTAACCACTGTGAGAAGACAATGCCAGTGCCAAGTGTGCCGAGCAGCCTGAAGAAGATTCAAAGTTTTGAAGTAACTGTTATGCAGCAATAGATCATGAGTACAGATTTTATTTCAGTGATGTTCTTCTGTAATAAAACTCTAAAATTGGAATGGCTTTGAACTTGGGCACCAGGAAGAAGTTAGCAGGACCTTGAGGTGAATATTAGTAAAAAACTGGAACCTTGAAGAAACTGCTAGTCAGATCCAAATGGTCTTTGAGATAGCTACAGGACAGAGCTTAAAGAAAAGATGCTATTGGAAACTAGGAGTGGTGTTTGTCATATAGAGACAGGAGTTTGGTGACACTGTCACCTATAGTGATGTGGAAAAGAGAAAGTGTGCCTAATCAATTGGCTATTGCAGCCAAAGTCATTTCCCAGTATAGTGTTGACAGTACTGCCTGATATCTTCACAAATGTGAAAGGAAAGAGCTCATCGGAAGGAAGAACTCTTCAAAAAAAGTACCTAGTCTGAAAATCTCCAGTTAAAGGTGGCAAATGATGCTAAAATAAAGACATGGCTTCCAGACAAAGATAAAGTCCAGGATGATGTTGCAAACATCACTGATGGGGTGAGGGTATGGCTGAACAGTCCTTTATTTAGAACTCAAAACTGTCCATAGCAGGGATTCAGAGAGTCACTCAGACAAAAATAGGACTTCAAAGATGCCCCAGGGTGTGTGCCTCCGCAGCTTCAGTAGAGGGACAGTTTCAGTAGACATGGGTTTGTTTTGAAAAGATTTGTAGGTATGGATTCTGTGTAACAGAATAAACTGAATTATATTTATAGGAGACTTACTTTTAAAAGTATTACAAGCAAGTATAGAGAGAGTAAAACTTAAAGTGGAATTTAGAGCTCCTAGATTCTATTGTTAGAAATCAAAGTGACAATACTATACAGTTTCAAACATATATTACTTTTTCAAAAGTTAATTTATTTATTTTATGTATATGAGTGCTCTAGCTGCATGTACACCATCATGCCATCAGATCTCACTAGAGATGGTTGTGAGCTACCATGTGGTTGCTAGGAACCGAACTCAGGACCTCTGGAAGAGTAGCCAGTGCTCTTAATCACTGAGCCATCTCTCCAGCCTCTTAAACATATATTACTTTAAATGGGAAAAGAATTAAGAGTCCAACAGGCGAATTCAAGAACTGTGGAAAGTTCTTCCCACACAGGAATAGGCCTGAAAGTCCTAACCAAAGAAATTCCAACATGTATGCAACTGGGCTTAAGGATCCTGATGGACCAGTAGCCACCCAGAGCTTCCTCTCTTCCCTTGGAACAGATTGTCTGAATCCAGTTCTATTGAGCCAATCCTGCAAATGTATCTGGGGGTCCAGGAAACACTGGTGTTAAGATGGACAGAGTTATACTTGAGAAGCTTAATTTAAAACATTATGTCTGGGAGACCTACATACATCTGCAGTCAGTTTAGACGACGTGACTCTGGAGTGATGGTATCATGGGAAGAGACATCTACTATGGAACAAAGTGAGAATAGTTTACCTATGGGGGAGAGACAGACTACAGTTGCCGCCAAGAAGCTCCCAAAACTCAAATCTTTATGCCCTTGGTCAGTATCTTCCCACGCTGGACAGCACAATAGTATCTCTATGACCAACAGTCTATGTTGAAAGTAACAAGAGATGCCTTAGGTTATAAAAGATACTATGTTTTCCACCATGTTCTCTCTTGCTTTGGGGGAAATTCAGTTTTCTTAATAGGACAGTCAAACAGTCCTATAAAAAGTAGTGCAGCCTCCTTTCAATGGCCATGTGAGTGAGCTCACTTGCAAGCAAATATGACATTTGCAGATTAGCCTTTAAATGCCTGTAGTACTGACGATATCCTTGCTTACATTTCTAAGCCTGAGCCACTCACAGTTAAGCCACTCCAGGATTCCTTACTCATGGAAATTAAGTGAGACAACAGATGTCTGTTATCTCTAGGTTCTACATTTTAAGGTAATTTTCCATGAAGTAATAGGTTAGTATGACAAGGCTATCTCTAGATAGTTCCCGAAGTCTACTAAGCTTGGAGAACTGGCTGGTTCTACTTTCACTGGAGAGAAGCAGAGAAGCTCATCTGACCGAATCCACTAACTAGGTCACCAGAACTTTACAAAGTCCCTTTTTAATACTTCATTTACTCTTCCTATAAGACTCTCTCCACAGAAGGTTCAGAGACGGATTGTGAAGTATCACATATTGAATTTCACAGCATCGTGTTTTGTTAGGTTGAAATTAAAAAGAACCAAGGACAATAATGATAACAACATGTTGTCACTTCCTCCTGTTAAAAACTCTAGGATCTATAAACGTCCTTTTGCCAGGGGGCTGTGGTACTAAGTATTGAACCCCGGGCCTCTTACGTGCTAAATAAGTACTCTACCACTGAGCTATACTTTCTACAATTTTTCTTAATTTTGTTTTGAGACAGTGTCTTATTAAGTTGTCCAGGTGGGACTCAAATATGCAGTTCTCCTGCCTCAGCCTTCCAGGCAGCTGGAACTAAAGGTGTATGCCACCATGCACAGTCAAAAATACTTTTTAAAATGTATTTTCATCTCAAAGATTTTGTAATTACCATGCCATGGTGTTCCTAAAGCCTAAACAGTTTTATTTTCATCGGGGGAGGGAAACAGAAAGAACCAAGCAACAAACACCACTCACTGAAGTACTGATGTTGAAGCTCGAGTTGGCATTGGCCAATTTCTTTCTCCAGAGTGGTGTATCAATCTTTGTTTTGAATGAAAACATAGAAGCAATTTCCAGAAAAATGAACTGAAGGAAAACGAAAATGTGCACAGATTTAATTGGAACAAAACAAATCTATTTTTTTCCCCAACATTCTATAGAATTTGTTATGAGGTTAAAAACAAACAAAAACAAAATTTCCAAAGCAGGGCGGTGGTGGTGCATGCCTTTAATCCCAGCACTAGGGAGGCAGAGCTGGGAGGATCTCTGTGAGTTCAAGGCCAGCCTGGGCTACAGAGTGAGATCCAGGACAGGCACCAAAACTACACAGAGAAACCCTGTCTGAAAAACAAACAAACAAAAAACCACACACAAAATCTCCAAACCTTCTAAAAATATATATTTAACAACAGCTGCACAGAGACTAAACATACGCTATCTTAAGGGACATCAAACATTATTTAAAATTTTTATTAATCTACATCCCTTGATGTTTTTGTGGAGACCTGGAAATCCCAGCATTCTTATCTAAAGAAAACAGAGGCCACCTACCTCCTTCTCCTTCCTTCCCTCCCTGCCCCGACTCCTTTCAAAGACAGGCTCTGTGTAGCCTTGGCTGTCCTGGAACTTCCCCTCCCCCCATGTAGACGGTGCTAGCCTCAATGCTAGCCCCAAACTCAGAGATTTGCTGGTTTCTGCCTCCCAAGTGCTGGGATTAAAAGCGTGCATCACATGCCCACCTACCTTCCATTCTTCTCACCCACTTCTCTGCCCCACTAGGTCAAAATGTCCCTTTCCTCTCTCAATCATATATATATATATATAATTTCTGTTACTGGAGAGACAACCATGGAGGGTAGAGACAGCAGCCCGCCCAAAATGTCTTACATGTTTAAGATACAGAGCCGGGCGGTGGTGGCACACGCCTTTAATCCCAGCACTCGGGAGGCAGAGCCAGGCGGATCTCTGTGAGTTCGAGGCCAGCCTGGGCTACCAAGTGAGTTCCAGGAAAGGCGCAAAGCTACACAGAGAAACCCTGTCTCGAAAAACCAAAAAAAAAAAAAAAAAAAAAAAAAGATACAGAATGATCTTCAAAGGGTCATTGTCAGGCACTAACTACAATTTGTGCTAAAAATAATAATTAAATCTTAGTGATCACCACAGTGCAAACTCCTTTACATTTAATCCACAAATCCCCATGAAGTAGATATTATCATTATTTCTATTTTACACATTTTTTGTTTGTTTCTTTTTTAAAGCAGAAAAACAGAAAGGTGAATAAATTTGTTCATGATTACAAAACTAAGTGGTGACCTTAGGATTTAGGGATTTTTGTGAATAAAGTCCTAAAACAAGTCTTGAAAACACCACATAAAGATCCAGCACAGTCTAGGGCATTTTGCTTCACGGGTAACAGCTCCTCTCCATTTTCTTGGAGCCGGGTCTGAATCTAGGGGGACCCCTTAGTAACTGGGGGCTGGAATCTCACTTCATAAATACGGTCTCCCTGCACCTCCCTTCACCTGACACAGCTACCACCCAGCCATTGTGAGTCCCTAGGAGACTGGAATGCAAATAGACTCTGCAAACACCACGATGCATAGTATTGCTTTGGATCGAAAATGTTGCCTGTTTGCTCAGCCTGACTCTGAGGCTCCCGGAGCTTAGGAGAAGAAACACAGCCCTTTGGGGGGGCCTTGTGGAAATCCCAGGAGAGCAGGCTCAGTCTGGTACAAACAGCCTTGGGCCTTAGCCCCTGGCAGAATCCTAGGACTGTAATGGGGGCGGGGACAGGTTGACACTCGAGTGACATAAGTCCGCAGGGACCTCAGGCTAGTGGTTTTCGGTCAGGTTGACACCTCCAGGGAGGGCGTGGGGGAAGGCGGGGCCCACCGCCTTCTGCTCAGTGAGGGAGAGACCGCGTTGGCGCTTCTCCTTCCGGCGGGGATGCTCGGCCCCGCGGGAAAACGCCGAAAAGGGCTCTTGCCGCTTTAAGTGACTCAGGAAGTGAAAGGAGGCCGCTGACGGCGAGGGCCAAGTGGAACCGGGGCGGCGCGGGCCCGCGGCGGCCGCGATCCTGCCGGGCCACGGAGGCTGAGCTGCGCGGCGCGGGGGCCGACGGGGCGCGGGCAGCCCAGCCGGAAGTGGCGCGTGAGGGACGAGGCGCAGCGCGGCGCGCAGCGGAGAGGCCGAGCGGGCGCCGGGCCCAGCGCTGTCGGCTGGCCGGCCCCAAGGCCTCAGCTGTCCAGAGGCGGCGCGGCGCGGCTCGGGGCGGCCCAGCGGGGCGGGCGGGCGGTCCCCGGGGGGAGGCGGGCCTGCGTGAGGAGGCTCCGCGGTGAAGGCGGAGAGCACGTCAGCCGCTAGGCCTCGGCCGCGTCCCTGCAGCCACATGGCCTCCGGAGTGGGCGCGGCCTGCGAGGAGCTGCCTCCCGACGGCACGTGTGACGAGTGCGAGCCCGACGAGGCGCCCGGGGCGGAGGAGGTGTGCCGCGACTGCGGCTTCTGCTACTGCCGCCGCCACGCCGACGCGCACCGCCAGAAGTTCCTCAGCCACCGCCTGGCCGAGTACGTCCATGGCGCCCAGGCCTGGGCCCCGCCAGCCCCCGAGGACGACGCGGGCCCCGAAGACGTCGTCGAGGCCAAAGGGGAGCCCGAGGGAGAGGTAGAGAGCGAGGTGGGCGAAGAGGAGAGCGAGTCGGAGGAAGAGGAGAGCGGTGAGTCGGAAGAGGAGAGCGAGACCGAGGAAGACAGTGAGGATGAGAGTGAGGAGGAGAGCGAGGAAGACAGCGAGGAGGAGATGGAGGATGACCAGGAGAGCGAGGCGGAGGAAGACAACCAAGAAGGAGAATCCGAGGCAGAAGGAGAAACTGAGGCAGAAAGCGAATTTGACCCTGAAATAGAGATGGAGGCGGAGAGAGTGGCCAAGAGGAAGTGTCCGGACCATGGGCTGGATTTGAGCACCTACTGCCAGGAAGACAGGCAGCTCATCTGTGTCCTGTGTCCAGTCATTGGGGCTCACCGGGGCCACCAGCTGTCCACACTAGATGAGGCCTTCGAAGAACTGAGAGTGAGTATGGGCATTCAGAACATATGTCTAAGGGGACCAGGACCCCCGTTTCAACTCAGATAGCGTAGCTGTGACCACATTCATTTTCATGTCTCTCTTCTCAAAACAAAACAAAACGAGCCACTTGGTTGGGAAGCAGTGCCTACTCCTACCATTTTGGTTGAAATTGTCAAGTTGTCGATGCTCATCTGAGAAAATACAAGTACACAGAAAATCTTGGGTATAATTGCTAAAAATTTGCAAATCACTTCTCCCTGGATCCCAGATAGAGCATTCCTTGAGAATTTTGACGCCATTTAGGCCAATTTTCACATCATCACCATTGTTAGGATCCGTGTTTTGACTTAGGGCTCTTGTTATGGCAACTCTGCCCACCTGAAAATGTGAGAAACCATGATTTTTGACAAAACCAAGTAGCCGGCTCTTGTAGTGAAAAGACTCCGAAAGTGATGATATAGACGATGACTTGGTGTGTGCCGTGAGTTTCCCAAGGCGCTTCGTTTTCAGACTTAGTAGGAAGGTGTGTAGCTGGAAGGCTACATTGGTGAGGGACAGAGGTTTTCATGGCCACTGTCTAGACTTGGATATATTATCTTGCACCTGTTTTTGGTCAGCAGTAGACATTTAGTAAATATTTGTTGATTGTATTTGGGTTGCCTTTTATGTAAACAGTGGATGGCTATGATCAATAAGAGAACAGTTTTTCTGTGTGTTGTGGTAAGTGGTTCGAGTTGGTAAATGTCATATTATGGCTGTGTTTCCCTCAACAGTCTTACAACCACCGGTCTCAGAATAACTAATACTTTGATAGTGAAAATACTTTGTATTGATATTTCCCTTATTCCTATTTTTATTGTAAAATACACATTCAGAAGTGTACAAAATATGCAGTCTAGCAAATAACTACAAAGCAAATACTTGTGAGAGCTCCACCCAGATCAGAAGTAGAACATTATTACTAATAGTGACATTCTTCATACCTCTTTCCTGTGTCGTCTTTTGGTAACCATTTTCCTGACTTTTGGGCTAATACTTTTCTTGGTTATCTTTATGTGTTACAGCTTTTTTGTGCATTTTTAAACTTGAAATGTATTGTAATGCAGTATTTTGAATTTGATTCAGTTTTTAAAAGACATTTGTGAGATTCATCCATTTACTGGCTGTGATTTATTTTTCATTGAATTGTATTGTGTATTGAATTCCATTTTATGGATATGCCACAAGTTACCATATACATGAACATTTGACTTGTTTCCAGATTCTGGAATTTCTAGCTGTTACAACTAGTGCAGGTGTAACAGGTGCATGTCTGTAATTCCAGCATTCCAGAGGTGGATGCAGGAGGATCAGAGTTCAGTGTCAATCTCAAGTCCATAGTGAGTTTGGAAAATCCTGTCTCAAAAACAAAATGACACATCCCCTCAAAAAATAGTGCAGGTACAGGCATTCTTGGTCATGCCTCCTGATAGCCATTTCCTATATGTAAGTGGAAATAGCACCCAGTGTTACCACCTGTTTTCCAAGTGGTTGTTCTAGTTTGCATAATTATGGAAACATTTCCTGTTGCCCTGAGTCTTCACCACCACTTAGTAGTAACAGTATTTTCCCCAGTGTGGTGATTATGTAATGAATGGTGTCATATTGTGGTTTTAATTGCAGTCCTTTGGTTTCTGAGTATCTTTTGTATTTCCTCTTTTGTGATGTACTGTCAGATCAAAAGAGCAAACTCGAGTAGATTATCTTTTTCCTCATCAACTTATGTGTATGTATACACATATACCTCTGTGTGTGTGTGTGTGTGTGTGTGTGTGTGTGTGTGTGTGTGTATAGTTTCTCCATTGTTTCTATCCATTTCACATATCTTCTGTCTCATTTTTCTTTTCCTTTTCTAATAGATTACTAATAGTATGACGCATTGGGTACTCAGTAGATCTCAAGTATTTATCAGAAGGTGAAAAAGCTGAAGGTAAAGAGGATGGCTTGGTATGTGACAGACCCACCCTTAAGTGACACCACTTTAGTCTCAACTTGAGAATTACTTTTTATTCAGTCTGAGATGGCAGCTTCCTTGTGTACACGTCTTCCTGTTGGCTACTTTAACATCTATAATCTGGGGTTGAACTGTTGGCTGGAAGCAAGGAGCACAGGCACTCAGGACCTCTCTGAGTAGACAGCAGAGTATAGTCAAAGAACAAAACTGTGGCTCTGATATGTGGGGTAGAGATGAAAAATCCAAAAGCCTGGCTCAGGGGAGGCAGGTCATGAGACAGAGACAGAGAGAGAGGGAGAGACTCATTATAACAGAGCTCAAGACAACATCAGTGGAAAATAAAACTGATTTTTAAAAAAATATATCGTTTTGCTTTTTTTGCGGGTTTGAGTATTTAGAGGAGAGATGTGAACAGCTGCTTCTTGGCCTTTCGGATGAGATCAAGTGTAGAGGAGAGTTACAAACAGGATGGCATGTTGTATGAATTTAGAGAAAGAAAGTGGTTTTAGCCAGAGGCATGACACCAGGAATGGTTTATTGGCAAACGTGGTATTTGAGACATGCTTTGAAAGATAGGAAGGATTGAATGGGTAGGTATGGTATTAGATAAACCTTCTCTGTGCCGCCATAGCAACAATTGGTATGCATTTACTGTAACCCCAAATATTGGTTATTATGTCAGTGCTGGTTCTGTTCCCTCTGTGTTAACAACTTTTCTAAGTCTAGCAGTATATGTTAGTCTTCACTATGTTCCCAGCACCTAGCATAGGGCCTATTGGATAATAGACACACATGACATACTTGATTTATGTATGATACGAAGTATAATAATTTTATCTAATAAGGCATTACTGAAGAAGTGATGAAGAGATTGTATTGTAGTGTATCATATTTATGTTGGGACTCAGTTCACTATACATGAAGTAATGGAATAACTTGGAATCCTAAACTGGCAGCAGTTCCTACAGGATGGATGACTATTTCTCCCTCATGTAATTGATGTCTGGATGTCGGCAGTCTAAGATTGGAGGAAGCATGAAGTTTTATCTTGGCTCTTGCCAGCTCCTCTCTGCCATCTTTGTTACAAACTGAGATGGCCACTGAAGTCTAGCCAGCATTTGTAACTTCTAAGATAACAGACATAAAAGTGAAAGATACTCCCCTCTATTTTAAGGCATCTCTCCAGAAGCATGTATTCCTGCTTAGGTTTCATGGGGCAGAACTCAATCCCATGCTTTGTCTAAGGGATATGCAAGGGTGGCTAGAAAATAATCATTTCACCAAGCCACAGATGACAAACTAAAAGGTGACATTTTGTTACCAAGGAAGATCCGTAGAGTGAATATTGAAGTCTTCGCCCTGATTATCCTTACAGGCCTAGCTGTGTTATGTTGGGTAATTCAGTCAGCTTCTCTGAGTCTTGGTTTCTTAACATGGGCATAATTGTGTCTCCCCTCTCCCTGCCCCTGGGAGTATGGTAAAGAGAAATAAGCTCATACATAGATCCTAGAACTATAAGTACTCAGAAACTGATGGCTCTTATTACCTTATTACTGTAGAAAGCTATCTGAGGCCGTCTCTTTTCTGAGTCTAGTTCTGGGCAAGTTAGTCTGGCAGCAGTAGATGTTCTGGACACTAAGCTTTCTTTTGTTAAAACTGTCAGCCCCCTCTCCTTCTGTTCTTTCTGCCTGCTCTAATCTGCTAATTTGATAGGCTACTGAAAACTTTCCTTCAGAGACAGGTTCCTGTGTATTTCAGTGTCCTGCTGGTGTCTAATGCATTAGCTACCCAAAACACAGCTGCTAGTCTATTTTGGGTTCACAGGTTTGGCTGTTGTCCTCTTTAGATTCTGTTTTATACTCTGTAACTGTGGAAGTTTTTACGGAAGTTAAGGGATGATGGGAACAATTGATTCTTTATTTTCTGGGTAGAGGATAGTCTCAGTTACTCTAGTAGATAGTTATGGAGAGAAGTTTCTATAGACCCCCCCTGTTCTTCTAGGACTTTGGGTCTTTATGAACCCTGGCAGGGTATAATTGCAGAGTCTGACTTAATAATTATAGAGAGTAAAAATGCTAATCTTTGTCTGAATATGTAAAATTAAAAGATTACAGTTTGTTGAATTTTGAGACTCTTCTAGAGATAAGGGAAAAAGAAAGTAATTGCTGCCATTTATTCAGAAGTTTGAATACATTTCATATGTTTTTACATTTGATCTTCACTCTAGCAAACTTGGTTGCCATGAGTCCCATTTTACAGATGAGGGACCAGATGTTTAAAGAGGTTGAATTTTGCCAGGTCACTCAGTGTCAATGCAGGATCATAGTTTTTACCACAAAAGATTAAGAGTTTATTCCAGAGCCAATTATGCGTGCCCATTGCCCAGGAACACAGATTCAGGTTACTCTAGACACTTTATGCAAGATGGTAACAGCTTCATGAAGTATTTATAGGAACAGAACAGAGAAAGTCATAGAGAAAAGTGTCTCAAAATCCATTGGTGGGAGCATCAGGTGCACAGTCTACAGCTAAGTGGAAAGTTTCTGTTGTAGACCTCAGATGCTAGTGATACCATTCTTACTTAGCCTTTGGAATAATAGAAATTAAAGTTTGTATGTTCCAAAAAAGGTCTTGCCTGATAGTCACAAGGGTGCTAGTTCAAATACAGAAATGAGCAATAAATGGCTGTTTAAGAGGTTAAAGATAGCACAAAATAATTCAACATTCCAGCTCTCCACAACCACGGGAGTTCTAATGAGTCCATCAGTCTTGTAGAGTATCTAACAGTTGGGGTGTTTTGATTGTTGTTGGCTAACTTGTTTCTATTTGTTTGTTTTTTTCTGGGAACTTCAGTTCACAGTACTAAGTAAAAAGAAGTATTTGAATTCAGTTCTGATACCAGAACACATGTTCTTCCTATTTCCTTTATTCTGTGTGTAGTCTTAGTTATTCTTCTCATTTATGCTTTTTTACATTTCTCAGAATCATTCTCCTGTTGACTGCTGTCTAC